TGTTTTTGCTTTTTTTTTTTGTAATAATTAAATTTTGTGTTGCAATTATTTTTGTATTAAATGAAATCTCTTACGATTTTGCCAATTAAATTCATTATTCACTTTTCGTTTCCATAAGTTATTGAGTACAAAATGTTAGTTAATTCGCACACACACAACATTATTATATGTTCGCTTCATGTTAGCGAATCAACGGTCAAAGGCATACATGCGCCTTCTCATTATAAATAAAGGAACGGCTACATCATTTTCGTCTTGGGACAAATGATGTTTTAATCCTTAAACAGCTTTTCTCGGATACCATTCGTATCACCAGATCGTGGATATTATTTTTAAGAGAAGGATGCTGGTACGTTTTCTCTTCAAGTTTCTTTATTTACAATCAATTTCTTTAAGGCTGGGATTATTTACATTTTACTTTCTCGATACTAAGGACTTCTCAATTCTAATATTCTCTTTCTTGTTCTTGTCCGACTGACTCTGCCTTCCGCAAACAGTCCATTTATATACATCTTTGCAAGCATCTTAGTATTACCTCAGTTGATGACTTCATGTTTAATCCTGTAACTTGCTTTTCCGCTGCATGACGGGCTGCGAATGTGTACTTGAGTCTTACCTCTCTAGCGAATTTATTATTTAGAATTTCCCTAACAATATATATTATAAAGTACGTTGAAATATGTACAAAGACCTATGTAAAGAAAAAATCGTAGCGTTTTTCACAAAAGTTGCAGCTTTGGCAGCACCTAGCTATATCCTGCTTAGTTGACATCATTTGAAGAAGTAAGAAAATTATATTCGACTGTGTCCAAATCTTTTCTACCCACCACCACCAATTTAAGGTGGAAAAGAATATGCAAATATTGATTGCTATGCAGCTTATGATTAATGAGCAAAATACCCGTTTTTTAGCTTTCCAAAACAGAAATGTTCCCCCTTTACGTAATGCTATAGCCGCGTCCGGTATTCGATGTAGCCTATTTTCAATAGAGGTCAGCGTACGACATCTTTCAATGTGTTTGCCGAACATAAACCCAATATATTTATTCTATCGATCAGGAGAATGTTTACCGCAGCCATTGCAAAGGCAGAAAGGCGGACAGGCAGATGTACGTACATCAAGTCAAGATATAACGTAGCTAAGAATGGTATCTTTGAAGCTTCTTTCTGGGCGTTGCAGACGTTTTAACATATATCTTCATCCATCACTGGCAGATGTAAAGAAAGGCATTGCGACATTGTGATTGATGCAACCGAAAGTGATTGCTTTTGAAAAAGGAGTCAAAATTCCGAAAAATCGCGTATATTTTGTATTATCACTTCGGCGAAAGCAATGACGATTCGTAAGCTTATGAACCAGTCGTAGCGCTTAAGATGAAGATGCTTTGTCTGCAGCCGCAGCAAGCCAATGATTTGCTCATTTACACTCTGACCGAGCAGCAGGGTTTGCTTAAGGCTAGGCTCGAGAATTGGACGATCAATGCATTACTAAGAGACTGCACATGATTTTATTAAGGCTCACATTGGAATATGCGGCTGGGGTATGGCATCCACTCTATCGTTATTTTATCGAATCAATTACATCAATTGAAAAACAATGCTCTTCTCCTTAAGGAGGAGGAGAGGAGGAGCTGTGGAACCCACAAGTAGAGTTACCACCAGTGAACATGGACTATTACTTATAGCATTTGTCTTACCGGAGAAACATCGGTTTATCTTAAGGATTTCAGTCTTCGTCAAATTGATGTATAGGGTTATCAATTCACACGCCTTGTTGAGTAAAATCAACATAAGTGTCTCTCAAAGAGCTATCAATGGATATAAAGAAGCCAAAGTAGATTCGGTTATGAATTGCTTAACCCACATAGAGTTCTTAGCAAAAACTTAAGCAAAATATAGAATCAAATTTATACATCTGACTCAATCGATTCGATAAAATTAACTCTTGTCGATGGTCGTACATTGCCAATGTCATATCTAAAGTAAAACATTTAGTAAAGAAGTGATGATACTATCTAGCATAATTATTACGCAAACGCTATGTAGCGTTGATTTAAGGAAATCTCTTAACCAGAGGCCTAAAGCAAAAAATTGGATTCCTGACTAAGCATGAACGTTCTGAACTACTTCTCTTCGTTGGATTTTTAATCATACGCGGATGGAAAAACTAATATGAACACTAGGCAATGTAGTACCATGTTGGTAACACTGCTTCCGTGGAAATAAAGCAACGCGTATATGTTGCGTACCAAGACTTGTAGGTTATAGTTCAGTGTAGTACACGGTTTATTCTACGACAATTACAGCAAAAGATCGACGAAATATGTGACCCTTTAGACTTCGAAAGAAGAGCCTGAAGCGCCTGTGATGAAAAAAATTTAACTGTTGAAAATTTCACAAGCGACAATAGCCTCGGTATTGACAGCATACACAAAGCATGGTAAAACATCATCGACGAACAGGAATAGTAACGAACATTAAAAGGGATCTGGTCAAGTTTGCATAGATCTGATAAAGACAAGCATGGTCCACCCGCAAATGCATCTATTATTTATCTATCATCTGAGCATACCAACTGTCAACCAATACACTTGCATACATGTGGACAGAAAAATAGGTACGACATCTGTTTTTCTATAGCATAGAAATTGTAAAAGATAGCCTTCACAAAGCTCACACAACGTTTTCACATTTCGCAAACCTCTTCAAAATTAATTCCTGGATTCTTACGTGAGTTAGTTCTTGCAGTAAAGAGTTGAGAGCTTTTATGTTGGTTTAATAGGCTTTTCATGTGCACAGTGAAATAGTTGCATCCTCTTTAAAAATAAGGAAAGTAAAGTATGGCGCAAAATTTTGATGCAAAGGTTAATTATAAAGGTAAAGTAAATTTTTGAAGAAGGAAATGCAATATCGAGCAGATAATTTTAGCCAAGAGGGAGGATGACTAGCTCATTAGCTTCGAAATCAAGGGAAAAACATACAAATTTATTGCCATATCACTGGGTCGGTCGGTAAGTGCTACGAGGCCCGAAGCAGTTAAAAAAAAAAAACTTCTCCTGCTTCCGATAATCGCTTTTTAACTTTAGCAAAAGGGGATTCTTTCAAGACGTCCAGAGCAATGTCCAATGAAATCGGGAATATTGTATCGCCGCGCATTGTTCGTCGACGTTTATTAGGTGCCAATCTACTAGGAACAACAACTCGAAAGGTTCCCTTGCTTGCAAAAGTTAATTTGTAGACGAGGAAAGTGTTTATGTTAGCCCTTAAAACTTAGTGCAAACCAGAAGGCAAAGAAAATAAGCCATATATATTTTGGAACGACGAAAGAAAATTATATTTGCTTGGAAATGACGCAGGAAGAAGTTGATTGCGATCAAAAAGAAAGAGAAGAGAATACGCCTTTAGATTATCTGAAAAACCTGTGAAGCATGGCGGAGGAAATCGAATTGTATAGGGTTGTTTGTCTTGTGAGTTCATCAATCCAATACATCTGAAGGAAAACAGTATGGACGGATTTGTACGGCAAAATTTGCTGAAATTTGCAATGCTACCGTATGCTGAAGAGCATAGGCCACTGCTATGGAAATTTCAGCACGATAAGGATCCGAAACATTCATTCAATTTGATCATGTCTTGGAATTGAATCATCATTGAATCATCAAGTCATTCTTTCGGCCTCAATCCGATGGCGAATTTTTGGAGAGGACTAAACCGTCATGTTCCCGATAACAATATTATGTCCCAGTAGGGAGACCGGCGATAATTTATTTTTTCCGTTCTGCTGCCCTTAAAAAAGGTAGTGGTTATACTGGCTGTTAACTGTTTGACTTGGTTTCTATAAAAATGATACCTTATGAATTCAATATTATGCGATATTTTTAAGTTTTTGTATATAAATCTATTTTTGAAACGAATTTCTTTTAAGTTTTCGTTTATACTTAGCATACCTTCAAAACCATTTTTAAATACGGAAATATTCTATTTTTATAAACAAATGATAAATATAGTATACAGTAGAAGGAAAGAATGGTAAAGAATATCCGCCATCAGCATAAAACAGCATATATTCGTATGTGTATATGTTAGTTAGAAGCGCTGCATTTAGATTGTGAGAAGCAATAATTGAAAGCTCTTAATACGCATTGCATTCTTTAAGTTCTCAATGAGCAGCTTACACAAAATCTCTATCTCAGTTTGCTTAAGTGACACTCGATTCTTTCTATGGCGACAATGTGATCGTGACTTTAATGATACAACAACTTCTATGGGGAAGTCATTGCGAATTGTAAAACAAAACAAAAATCAACCATGAAACCAATATACTTCACCTGAAACAAGGTCTCGGTTAATAAAAAGTCAAATATGAAGAAAGAATAAATAAAATCGCATGCACAGTGCAATGATTCAACTTGTGGCGAAAAAAAAAATAAAGTTTTTTTTTTTTGTATTTTCTGCAATCAGAAAACAAAAAAAAAGCAAAAACAACAAGGTAGCAATTGTTCGACAGTACAGTTGGTCTAGACTAAACTCTACTGCTGCGGTTATTTAAGTTACATGAGAAAATCGGAGAAGGAAAAGCTGAAAATTCAACGTAGTTAACATTGGCTTTGTTCAAAGCATGCAAACCGCTAACGTGGTTCAAATTACTTACTGTTACGTGCTGAATGTATGAATGTATTGGTAGATGCGCGATTTTTCAAATGTTAAAGAAAAATAAAAGTGATTTAACAAATTTTTAGCCGAAACAAATTCAAACAACAACAATAACTGGTTATTAGGCAACGTTATGCAATAACTTAATATTTTAATGTTACATAGCAGTTACCGCTGTTTCATTGTTTTTGGAATTTTTCGTGTACGAATTTCTGGTTTCATATTTTGTTTTTTTTTGTATTAAATGCTAACTTAGGCTAGGTTAACAAGCCATTGCTTAAGAAAAATTTCAACAATTTATTTATTTGTGTGCTTTACTTTACTTTTTCCTTTTTTCCTTTTTGCAGTGGACGACGCTTCAGGTCATTATACTTCAGGTTTTTTTTACGGCAACAATTATTGGATGGGTTCAATGTCATTGTGTAAGGCTATACATCACGCAGTAGGCCATGATCGTGGAAAGATTGCCGTTAGGAGTAATGGTCTCCAATTCTCTAAAGATAATATATACACCTATCCATCTATATACAATGATAATCCACCATTCATGCCAGGATTTTTTATAATTAAAATATTTTTCAACGAAACTTATCCAATAAAAGTGGTAAGCGAACTTTCAACATTGACAAATAACAAAATCTTCCTTAATTGGATTAATGTCCAGAGAAGAAAACATTTTCATATATTTTGCTTCTTTTTTTTTTGTACCTATCGCCGAGGGATGACGTGCATATTGATTTTATCAAAACGTTTGCAACGCCCAGAGGCAAACTTCAGAGAACCCACGAATATATATAATATTTTTGATCAATATCAAATTCTGTATCGATTTGAGCATATCCGTCCGTCTGTCCGTCTCGGTAATGCCTATTGTAAACACGATTTTTGGCGCAAAAGATAAGCTGTCAACTTGAAATGTGTCAGAAACCCTGCAGGTGCCTACACTCAGGATGGTACTGAAAATGGAACCAATTGGTCGAACGACTCGTCTACAAGGCCCCGAAAACTGAGGAAAGGAATAACAAAAGTGATTTTCTGCTTATTACTCATAAACTGCAGCCGATAAATCTACGAAAATTGAAACGTATATTCTATAGGCCACGCCTATCGAATATTATAGTATATAAAAATTAAATTTGTTTTTCAATAGCTTTTAAACGCCCAAAAACAAGCTTCAAAAATCTTATAAAGTGTATAAATTCTTGGCCAGTTTTAAATTTGGAATGCATCTAAGCATGTTTACTATTCCTATATCCGTGCATCTATCTGCCCAACTATGCAGAATTTGTGATAAACATTGTCCTGTTCGCAAAAATGAATACGCCGTCTAAAAATTTGCAAAAGAATTTGAAAACGATCAAAACCGGACAAAGAACACGTCTACGACGCCCACATGCTTAGGCTACACAAAATGTGAACACGTTCGCTTTTCGTGTTCATTGTTTGTTACTCAAAAAGCATATCAGAAATGCCATTTAAATTTCCGCCGCGTCTATCACGAATATTATAGAATATGACAATGCAGTTCTTTTTCCCATTTTCTTAGTCTTTTATTGGGATAACGGTAATGGGTATAAAAGATTCGGTCGCGACTGAATACAATTTTCTTACTTGTTTCCTCTTTATATTTGCTTTGGTAGAGCTACAACTACTACTACTACAACGATGCAACATATGCGATTAGACGGAGATTGCTATTGTTTATCATTAATATATTTCCGCCCCTGATGGCTCTTTGAGTTGTCGATTATTTATTACTTCACGTTTACATTTTGATTATTACAAAAGATCTGTTGTGTTATGTGAAAGCAACGCTTTTGGAGTCAGCGAAAAAGCTTATCAAGCCACATAATTAAAATTTTTTACGTCCAATGTGAAGCCCCTCTCAAATAAGCTATTTACTGAAGAAGAAACGTCAAAATCAGCAAAATATCCAAATGCTTCTCTCGCAATACCGAGTATTCATGATAGAAAACAAAATCGTTCCGTGTTCTTCAGAGTATGCTTCAAATGCAACTGGCACCACAATAAAGCTTCAGTTCCGTTATGGTAACTTAAGATCACAATGATACTGCATAAGGCAATGGTTGGATCGCAAAGATTTAATTCGTTGAAGTCGGAAATTTCTAAGCGCACAATATCTGCATATCCGTGTAAAAAGACAAATTCTTCGAAAAGTGTTTCTAAAATAATTGCTCCCTTATCTTCAAGCATTCACCTATAAAAACTGGAAAGAGTGCAGCAAGTTCTTTCAAGTGATGATTGCATTCCGTAATGGAAGTCAAATCATTCAAGGAATGATATAGTATTTCCGAAATCGAAAGACGAACGTACGTACGATCTAATCTTTATCTTTAATTGGGAGATGAGGTTATGGGGATCATCTATTTACTTCACATCTTTGGACAAGCTCTAAACAAAATGTTCACGTTTTTTTTTTTCATATATTTTCAAGTGTAAAAGACGTGTGCATCCATCTAAATATACAGTGATTGCAAATCCAAATACATTTTTCGTATACCTTAAGATAGATAACTTTATTTATAACTTTAGAAATAAGCCCAATAAATAATCGATAGATTTTGTATTTGTTCCCGTAAAATCGCTCTGCTATCTCCTCTTGCAATATGATTACCCACTCCAGGTATGTACCTACACGTGCAGCACTGTGATGGTCAAGTAATGTCTGCACCGATTTACTCAGACGAAACCGATTGGCTTATGAGTCACATACAAGCCCTTCGGTTCGCAAGACAATCCTACGTCACTCAGAAGGCTTATCCCAAAAATTGGGAGATCTCAATATAACGGTTTAGTGTATTGGCGAGTATACGACTCTCTCATAATTACTCTTGTATTCACGTTATTCCTATTTATCGAAACCAATGATAGTCATACACAACTGGCCTCCTCAATAATGTCGTACAACTGCGTTAAGTCTTCGACCTCCATAGTAGCTGTTTGCTTAGTCAAGAAGTCTGCAAGCAGACGACTTCCGATTTTCTTGATGAATTCTTCATGATGGCATCCCGCCGCCGGGAACGCAGTGATTGTTAGTGATTGTCAAAAAGAATTGGCGGTAGAGAGAAGGAGATGGGGAGTAGCCACAGTCTAGTGAATGTTTAGTCAAACCGCACTAACATTTCAACCCACGATCACTAACTTACTAGTCGCGGCTCTTATCACTGTTACGCGTTTATTCTTTGTAGAGCTTTTGCGATTTCCGAGCAACAGCTACATTCTGTATATGTAAATACTCTATGCTCTATGAACACTACAATTTTTATTGTTCTCATATTCCGTTTTTCTATTTCCTTTAATTATATCCACCGCTGCCTTGGATTGAAACTACATCAAACGGCTTAAGAACGAATATCATTTTGTCTCGATATTTGAGGGAAATTTCTTAAAGTTCTTAACTAAATATACTTTTAAGAGTTGCGCATATGATCCTAAGCTTTCTTCCAAACGGAGAGAGAGTTCTCTTTTTTTTTTGTTCCCATCTTTTTGCTTTTCAATATTATTCACTACTATTTCAGACTAGAACGATTTATGCTGGCGTTTGTTTGCCTTCAACTTGTGATCGTGTCGATGTCAAAGAACTATTTCGGAAGGCGCAAAAACAATTAGACAGTCGTCAGATTCGTGTTATTGATGTGCGAATGCCTACCGATCAAAAATTCAATCTTTATGAAGATCGAACGTTTTGGATTTTAGCGTAAGTGTAGTTGAAAAAGTCGAAAGTATTAAACTATCAAAATTCATGGATTTTAGTATTGTTTCTGCGATTGTCTTCATTTTGATATTGAGCGGTACCGTGTATGAAATTTACGTGAGTAAACGATTTAAAGAAGTTTTGCGTCAACAGGATAAAGAGATGATGAATAACAGTGAAACCTCATCCGGGATAGGATGTGCTTCTTCCGATTATGGAGACACAGTTACGCGTGAATCCTTGAAAAAAGAGTCTTTAAAGGATTTACAAATAGTTTTAAATTTGCCAAAGGATAGAGAAAATTGTGAAGTGTCCAGCGGCAATCCGAATACAAGTTCCGATGAATATCTTGAAGGACATCTTCATGAGTCAGATAAACTGAGTGTATACTCAGAGCTATTATTATCGTTTTCAGCCATCACTAATTTTAAAGCTATATGTGATCACAATGTCGGAGCCGATACTTTAGCATCTATTCATGGCTTAAGAGCTTTTTCAATGTTCTGGGTGATACTGGGTCACACTTGCATTGTAGTCTTCAAATATTCAGATAATATGGAAATGCGTAAGGATGTCGAAAGGAACTTCCTGTTTCAGGCCATTACAAATGGTCCGTTTAGTGTTGACACGTTTTTCTTCATTAGCGGTTGTCTGGTATCTTACTTGTATTTCCGTACAAACGCAAAAGGCAAATTAAATAAGTTAGCGAAAGGATCCTCCAATGAATGGACTAGATGTGCAGCTCACTTTTTAGGTCTGGTAGCGTACCGTTTTATGAGGTTCGTCACTTTGCAAATTATTATTATAAATAATTTAATATTCTTTATGCCTACATTTTTAGATTAACTGCTCCGTATATGTTTGTATTGGGTGTAGTTCAAGTCACTATGAAATATTTGGCAGCAACTTCCATATTTGAACCGCCAACTATGGATCATTTAACATGCCCTCACTATTGGTGGCGCAATGTGCTTTATATTAATACACTCTTCCCGGTTGAGCAAATGGTAAGTGAACCAATCTATAGCTTTTACTGTTTCCGTTATTATTATTTATTGCAGTGTATGTTATGGAGTTGGTATTTAGCCAACGATACTCAATTCTATATAATCGGTGCTATTATATTAATTATTGGGGCACGACATTTCCGATTATCAGCTATCACTACGTGCGCGTTTCTCATCTTGTCGTGGATTGTCACTGCTATTGTTGCGTTCACGAATAACCATCGTCCTGACACTGACGATCCTTTGGCTTTATTTGATAAAATCTATGATAAGCCTTGGACTCGCTTGGGACCCTATCTTATTGGGATGGCAGTGGGTTGGACCCTATTTCGTACAAATTGTAAAATACGTTTGCCAAGGATGGCTGTAGTGACCGCTTGGTCTTTAGCAATAATAAATTTATTGGTTCTGGTGTTCGGTCTCTATCGTGCGGAATTATCGCAGTTCACTGCTGCGCTCTATAGTTCATTAAGTCATTCGGCTTGGGCTCTATCATTGGCCTGGATTACAATTGCTTGCTCGACCGGTTATGGCGGTTTCGTGAATACTTTACTGTCGGCACCCTGTGTCTATCCATTTTCACGGGTCACGTACTGCGCTTATTTGGTACATCCAATTGTTATACGCTCGATGGCCTTAAACGCGGATGCTCCCATGCATTTAGGTGGCGATACAATGGTAAGTCACAAGAGCCAAAATTTAAGTTTGACCACGCAAAACTGATAATACTCGATGCCCTGACGCCAAAATTATCCAAAATATATATATATATATATTTAGTAAGCCTCATTTAAGGATCCCCTTACCATCATCTTTACTCTCAGTAGTGGAATTCTTCAACTGACGCATGCGCGTTTGTCGTGACGTGAAACTATGACTTTTCATAAACATTTTGTAAACACAGCTAAAGTGTGCACTGCAGGCATAATTTAATTGAATAGTTGAAATTCTATAAAAAGAGTTTGAAGAAGAATAAATTTTAAACAAATAAAGTACAAGTACAGAAAGACGAATCGTAAAATTGAAATTAAAATATATTTTAGATAAAGAGGAATGGAGTGGCAGCTGGAGACAAATTTCTAAACTAATCTTTTAATAGAAAAAGTGCAATTTTTTAGTAAACTTTAGTTAACTAGTAAAAGTTAAATATAAATCACTCCTTGGTAGAGCTCAAAAATTATTTATAAACATTTTTTTTTGTCTTCGTTTTAGGTCATTATGTTTTTTGGTTTCGTAATCGCATCATATCTTCTATCGTTTGTTGTCTCAATATCATTTGAAGCACCTGTCGTTACCATGTTGAAGATTTTATCACCTAGTCGAAAAAAACGGCTAGCCTGAGCTCCGCTGAGATCCGTTGAGACATCAAATGAAATCTAAATGGATTATATATTTATTTTTAAATGTAAATAAATCTACTTTTCTTAAATTAATTAAATAATGAATTAAACAAATTCAAATAAATTTTTCCAAAAAAAAAAAAAAAAAAACATTTGTACAAATAATCTCATCAAATCAAACAATCTATCGACTGAAACCATTAAATTTGTAATCAGAGGAAATCGAAAGTGAATCTTAATATATGTATAAAATTTTTACGAGTGATAAGTGTTTTTTTAATTTTTTTTTTTTTTCATGAATTCGTGCAGTTTAAACGCAATATTATATTATACTTTGTAAATAAAAAAAAGTTAATAAAATGAAGTTTTTGGCTTTTAATAGATATTTATTCATTTTTTTTTTTTTTTTTTTTTTTTTTTTTTTTTGAAAACAATTTTAGCATACAAATTAAAATATTTGCTCACAAATCGATACGAAAATAATGTTGGATGCTATAATATCATATTTTGGAAAATTCACAAACATCCACAGTTTAGGTGCAACACTAACGCAATTAATTTTTACTTTTATATCTACCAAGTTATTCGTACCTCTTCTTAGGAGATCACGAGTTTCCACGTTATTGAATTTTAAAAAATTAATGAAAACAAGTGAAAAAAAAGTAGGGGGCCCACGAACCATCACTAAATACCCTGTATTAGTCCGATCCGAACCGCACTCAATAGCGTTCACTAACTTCGGCCAAAACACGTCCAAAAAATTGTCGAATCATTTCTTAATCTAAGCATACGATATCATCCGCAGAAACAGGACCACAGTGTGTCTTTAAGTCGCATTTGAACTTTTAACTTGAATTTTGTGGTTATTTCGTGTGGCATTTCCCCAAGAATCTTTTCTCGATCCTAAAAAGGGGAAAAGAATACATTTTTATACACTATAATATTGAATGGGCACTGCCGATTTTTTCTATTTGCACAATAAAAGTGGACATCTATATGGTGCATATGTTGTAGTTTATGAGTAAGAAGCAAAAAACCCGGAAAGCAGACATTTGCATGTTCTTGGGTCCATTCCAATTTCTCTTGCAAGTTTGACGACCGTATCCGCATTTTTGCGAACGGGAGAATGTGTATCACAGATACTACCCGGTTGCGCATACGAACAGACGGAGATTCTTAGATGCATTCCAAATTATTAACTGAATTTATATACTTTACTGGGTTTTTGTAGCTTGTATCTGTGCGCTATAAAGGTATTGAAAAAAAAAATTAAATTTTGATATGCTACAATATTGGATAGGCGTGGTCAATATTTTCAATTTTTGAACAAGTACTACAGCATCGCCCATAGACTATATGTTCAAATTTTTTTTTACATTTATCTGCTTTTGAAAAACAGTTTACGTGGTACGTAGTGTCGTTCGACCGATTTCGCCAATTTTCAACAACAACCTACCTGCAAGAATTGCAACGTTTTTGCCAAATTCGAAGCCAATAGATTCATTTTTACTCCCAGGAGAATGTTTACAGCGCACATTATATAGACGGACAGATGGACAATCAAACATGCTTCAATCGATTCAGAATTTGATGCTGATTAAGTATATATATATATATATTGTGGGATTTCCGAAGCTTCCTTCTGTACGTTAGAGACGTTTAGACAAAATGAATATACCCCTCATACCTTGGTGATATGTATAATAAAAAGGTATAACTTTTAATGCTTTTTGTTGGAAATTAGTTCGTGATAGCAAATTAACATAGAGACCAACCTTACCGGATTTGAGCTACGTAGGTCTATTTTTTGAATAACATCACATATCAAGATTCCTCCAATATGCGAGCTTTCATGAAAATAATATGTAGTATTTGGTTAATTATTACCAAAACGAATGAATAGCTGTACAAGGCGATGTGATGTAGGGTATCTAATTGTCGACTTTGCCCGACTATAATGTTTTTATTTGTTTTATTATTGCCAGTAATTGTAGTTATAAAAAAATGACCGCCCTCATATGTGCCCAAGGGCTTGAGGAGGTTAATTCACTGTTCAATACTTATACTTCAATATTCTTGAAATCAGATTTTGCTGCGTGTCTATAACTTTTTTAATTTCTTCTTCTCTCGTAATGAGCAACAAAACGATAAATTCCCACCATTTACTTGCAATCCCTATTAAACGAGCACCGTTTCCACATCTATAGGCAACGTTTCCTCAATGACGGGTCAAATGTAGAAAAAAAACAAGTCTCGAAACTTTCGATTGTTTTGTAATAGACAGCTTTAGTCTTCAATTTGTAAAAATTCATCCTTAATTTATTTTCTTTAATTTTTCTTTGATTTATACGGCTTCCATTCAACTTTTGTATTTTAGGCGCACGTTTTAATTGTAATCCAAATAATTTTAACAAAGAAGCAAATTTTGCATATGCATTCTATAGTTGTTTGTTTGTTTAAATCTGACAAACGTGTTTTCTATTTACGAACAAGGAGAAGAGAGGACTAGGCAATCATTATTATCAAGTATGCCGGGCGGATAATCTAAATCAATTTTCAAAATTTAATCATTTAATTAATGTAACCATGTAATCATTTAATTAATTAAAAAATCGTTTAAATTTTTTAGTTCGCCATCACTCAAAAATAGAAACAATTGCCTGCGCAAGAAAGCTTTTAAGACAATGCCATTACATCCATAATTTTTTCGAAAACTTACTCTTTGCTTGAGATAATCTCTAAGTAAGCTAAGTTATGCCTTGTAAAACTCTACGTTTTCCACTAGTCTACAATCACAGGATTGCTAAGTAATACTTTCCACAAAACTTTTCTTCATTTTAACATTTCATCTTACGATAAAAAAAAGGGCACGCTCTAAAATGACATCAATTTTTCTACGTAAATTTCTAAAATTCATTATAACAAATTTCTAAAATTCATTATAACGTGAATATCGCGGGGGGGGCTTTGAAGATTAAAAATCATATAATTTTTGAAAGTTTGACTTCAATGATTTCGGTTTTGAATTACTACGACTCGTTAATGTAAATTCTTTGATTTTAAAAAAATTTTCTCTTGAATTCTTATATTAATTCCGTTTCAAATAAATCGTGAATTTTTTCGAAATCAAGTTTAGAAATGCATTTGAATCCATTCATTGCATTCATTACACGCTTTATATTGTTATGCTCCATGCCTCTCTTCGTGGTCGTTGTATGTAATAAAACCGAGATAAGTAAAAAACAAACTAAAAAAAAATTACAGAGTAACGTCATAGTTTGAATGGAAATACTTTTTTATTCTCTCCATGAATATGGATTAGAAACTTCCTGTAATATAATTATAGTATTCTTCGGGATTGCTGTCGATAAATGTTCCGGCGTTGATTGATGACGTAGTTCTAGATTTAATAAATAATTCCAATATTGCTCGTGTCACGTATTCATTTTTTTACTCTATACGCAGGATATTATTATATATAGAGGTTCCCCCTAAAAAGAAAAAACAGATTATTGACATATTTTAAAAGCGTTATAATCATACTTACCAGCAAAAGCATGCTGCCACGATCAAGGTCTTCATTATATGCATTCTTTATACAAAAGGAAAAAGAATTCAAAAATTTGCCTGAAACTTTACTTCGAGCGTATTGTTTTTTTTTTTTTTTACCAACCTCTCTATACTTTTTTATCAACCGATAACGATTGTGTGGTAATTAATATATACATCTTTTACTCTTTATGTCGCATCATTATTGACTCTTAATTCACGCCAATATCTTTCATTATCTTATTAGTTAATGGAGAAGGCACTTCAGACAGGTCAGCTTTCATATTTTACCAAATCTCGGCATTACTTCGTTATAATCAACAATATATTTACTGTTCGATAATTTACCTAATGTCTCTCTAGTTGAGTTAACAGTAAAGGAGATAAGCGGTAGCCATTACTACGCGCCATTGATAAAGCGCTTACAGTATATTGGGTGAAATATGTAGATAAGAGATCATGTGCAATGTTGTATAGTAAACATATAATCTGTCATCTTCAAACTTCATCATTGGCGACCCAATGTAGATGGCCAATTCATAAATTTTATATTCTACTATTGATAAATCTCTCTCCCCTTCCTCGCAATCCACAACTACTTTTGTAAGTTCAATAAAAGGCTTCTGAAACTGTTCGGTGATTAAAATATTTTTCTCTTACAAGAATGAGCTTCACTGAGAAATATTTGATCGCTATCAGTTCAGAATCCACTGCTATGATCTTAGTCGGTTAGTTAGTTCCGAAGTTGTTCATTTAATTGATGTTTCATTTTTCAAATTTTTTGCGATTGTACGATCGAGCCAGCTTTTATTATACCGATTTATTCATAATCGATGTAAGCTTGCCTGTCTATCAGTGCGTCTTATTTTCTTGTCTTCAAACTAACGGTCGCAATTTTTGAAATATTTTGATGAAATTTGATACGCCGACGTATTTCGACCCAAGGACGAACAATATTGAAAATGATTCGGATCGGACCACTTTTTCAACCACTTACCCTATAACGAAAAGTCGGTATATGGACAACTGCAGGCTATTTAATGATGAACCGTGCTCTACTGTAGTCGTTTTTACTTGCTTTGCTTAAAAACAATTTTTAGGTGTCCGAAAAATTCCTTCTATTGAGCACAATGAAAGAAACAAAATGCAACAAAATGTCACGAAAATTCCATATTCTATTCTTAGATCGAGCAGTTGTTTTTAATGATACAGGCCGCTCCAAATGCAGCTGGCTGCTGCAGGTCTTGAAGAATTTCTTATTTAATAATTGCAAAAAATACGCTCGTTAGTTGACTCCATTTTATTTTTTATAAACTAAAATACTCTTTATTAAATATTGATGGTTCCGACATTTCCACTTTTACACAATATAAAAATTTTAAAAATGGCCTGTTTTTTTTTTTTTTCTTGTAACCCTGTAAGTACGATAAACTTTTGCTATGCGCTTTTTGTAGGAAGACAAAATAAAATTTCTGTAAATTTTCGTATTTTGCGTTAGAATTCTATGATGAATCTATTTTAAGACGAGCATTTATATGGCATACTATAAATATATATAAAACAGTAGCCAAATAGTAAATGCGGAAAGCTTGCAAACCGTTTGATTACCGTAAATGCAATAAATTGTAATTGTCGCTTCGTATGAAGAAAATGTAGTTGTTGTGAGGAAAAAAAAAGTCCTTTTCTCTGCGGACCAAAATGTATGCCAACGTTTCTCCAACTGTATACTACTGAAATGAGCAAAGAAATAATTAACTGATATCAAAATATCACATTTAAGACAAGTATACAGAACAGAGAACACCGATAGAAAAGTAAATAGACAGAAAAAAAAAAA